TCTATCGAGTTTAGGTGAGACACACCCACCTATGATGGATAGAATTTACATGTCGTTGGTTTCTCTATGCCTGCCAATCACTCCAGAAGAGTGTGGTTAAACTTGGTACTTGATCCCAATGAAACTAGTTGTTACTCCGTGTGCTGCGTTTACAACAAGCTGGCCAAAACTCTGCACAAACCTTAAGGATAAGTTATCTATGCTCTCCTCATACATGTCTGTGTGTTTCTCACGTGTACATGTTCGGCAATTTATGTAGGAGGAAGGATGAAGCAGTTTTCATTGCAGGATTAGGGAACACGAACCGTCCGGGCTATTCATGATATGCAAGAAAACAATAACTAGCGCGATTGTGATCCACCTGGCTGACACCGGTCACCGGATAAACAGCGATGCGTTTGAAGTCATCAGCAAGGACCCTCACAACAATTCGAAGTACGTTCGGCAACATTACTAGGCAGTAGCACAAGATATCACATTCAAAATTCGGGATCCATCACTATGCAAACAAAAGACAATGGTTACGGCATTCAAGCTGCCTTGGCTCCACGCTAACGTACGGGCCGAACCAAGACCTGGAGGTGGCATTTCAAAGGTGAAAGAAATCATCTGAAATTTCCAGAAGTGATCTTGATTTCTCTCGCCGCTCCATGCATTCCACTAAAACTTATTCCTTTCCATTCATCCTAATGGGCCAATCACTTTCACTTTTATCTTGTGTATAAACAAGCAACTGTAAGTGCCCGAAAACGAAGTTTGTCTGTTTGTCTTTTGATAATATTATAGGAATCCTCCAGGAAATTATAGACATCATTATCAGGTTTTCAAAATCGTGGAATTCTACTGTTTGGTACTACTCTCAACTTTTCCATTTCTTTTGTTTACTCATTCCACATTGTTTCACCAAATGAACGACCGAAAATCCACAACCGCATTCCAAAGACCAAACTGAAATTGTTAGTAACCCTTTCAGGATCCATCCTTCTATTAGGAGGAATAGAGTAATTTGTGACTTGACTTGACGTGATCCAGTTACACCAGATTTTCAAACAGTCCCACAGAACACATAACGGGAACACAAATAGGCAAACTACCTCGTTTTCATTAGGTCTTAATCGTGCAAAGGAGGATTTATGAGGGAGACGTGAAAGCAATTAAAGTATTCAACATTTTATGTCATAATTGGTTCCCAGTTCTCATTTGCTCAGATGTTTCACGATGGGTCCTTATTGGCGAACCGACCCTGGGAGCTTGAGTGCTTGCACAGATTTTTTTGAGCACACAGAGGGGGGTAAAGAAGACGGATACTAACTGTCTCCGCGGCGTCCAGAACGCGAAACCGCAAGTTTCAAGACCGTCTCATTTTAACGCTATGAGAGGGTCGGAACGCCTCAGTCGTGTTTTACATAAGGATTATATTTTCTGTATGAATCTGGCGTTGACCAACAATCGTAACACTGAATTATGCTTTTCTTTACATGTCTATGTTTCGATGAATTCCTTTCTAGTGCTTACTATATTAGTATAACTATAATCTTGGAAAATGGAAGGTATGAGACAAGGTAATTTGAAATTAATGCAACGATAGTTCACTGTTCATAGATTGCAAACAAATGGTATTAATTCGATCTCACCGTGGCTCATGACTGATCGTTGGTAAGGTACAGACACCACGGCAATAGATTTGGTATAATCTTCGGGTACCCAAAATTTCAAAATTCAATAACTGATCGAACTGTCCGATACGGTCTGAACGGAATCGAATCCGAAGTCGTATCTGGTCCTTAGCCGGAACGATCCACCGGAAACTGTTAAGGCTGTGGTCAGAAAGTGAAAACAGTGCTACAGTGGGGCGAAGGAAGTTGAATGATTCTATGAAAAAACATAAACACTGAACCCTTGTAATGGAAATGATTGTGATCATCAACAAAAAGCACTGGATATCTGTTTCGTCCTGTTTGGGACTCCTCACTGGTGCTTACTTCTTGCGTCCCTGTCAGGACTCAAACCGCAATTCTTCGGGCTGGAAANCCTTTATCCTTTGGCTACACGGTCGACGGTTACCACCTTGTGCGAATGACTCAATCAATTTAGATGGTGAATGTTTGGATCAGCCCAGTCGGTTTTTCACAGGCACCAGGCACTGCTGATGACATTAGTTGTGGGTTTCAATCCTTGGGAGATGGTTAATTCCTCGCAAGTTCATGCATTTCAATGCGATGGAAACATCATCAACAGTGCCTGGTGCCTGTGAAAAACCGAATGGACTAATCCGAACATTCACCATCTAAACCAAATCCTTATATTTCTATATATATAATAGTAAAACAAGAGTTTATACAGCACAATGAAAAATGACTTAAGAGTAATCGCATTTTGTGCTCTACGTGTATACTGTTGGTAATAAGCGTACGAGGAAACCCAGTCGTGGTATTGGGCATTCTACCCTTAATTACGTAATACCCATCGAGATAACAGTTTAATCATTTATTAGAACAAATGAGCAATTACTGATCGGCGAAATTACCGCTTTGCCATATGTTAGATAGATTTATTTATCACAATATGGGTTAAATGCAAACAGCGAAAAAAAGTCATGATTGAAAACATGTTCATTCGTATTTTTTTCTCCTGATGACGATACTGCCTAAGTTTCGTCCTTGATTGTCTCGTTCCAACCTCGTTATAATTTATTGATTTGACTAACTATCCTTCGAACTTCACCTTTACACATAATCCTCACTTCGTCGATTCAATCATACACTCGGAAGCACTAGACTCGAGGTTCGCTCTTATTAGAGCTCAACAGTGGTGCACGTCCACCGTCCCGTCCGGGATTTGAACTCCGAACTCATCGAACGGAAGGCGTGTGCGTTACCACTGTGCCAACCAGCTCATACCATGGCTGAACCAAATAGCCAAATTAATAAATATCAATTATCCTACACCACTACTCACAAGTAACTGTGAGCTAAATGCGATCCATTATAATTAGCAATATTTATTTGGTCCCTTCCACCTTTCAGGCAGAATTTATTCTGCTTTTCGGTTTCTGAATATATTTTATTGTTTCCTAACTGGACGAAAATTTCAGTCTTGCACAGTTTATTTCTTTAACGGCATTAAATTTTCGGATGTATACATCTCTCCCAAATTGAGGAAATGCAAATCTGAACCGCGTTCTCACTAATCCGTGAGATAGTTTTCTGTAATTATGCTCATCAGGATAAACTCGTACAGAAACTCGCCGGTGCCGTACCTCGCTCATCTGCTACTACTTGTCACCTCCGAACTGTGTTACTTTACTGATAGCCGCATTACTCTTTCACGCATAAACAGTTCACTGTCTATATGCCTGTTTTACAGTTAGTTAGGTGTTTCATAATCTGTTGAGAAGTAAGCCCCCATGTTCGCTCAAGCCTGGTAATAAAGCACAAAGCATTCTAGTAAGTTTCAGTGAATTAAACTAATTTTACCGTTCATATAAAACAAAGGTTTAATTTTTCAGGCTATCAACTTCTTTAATAAGCCTATGACTCACGTTTGAAGACTGGTGCTCAACGAGGAATCCAACCTGGCAAAAAAGAAGAGACAAAATAAAAATGCATTATTTTTCTGACTCAGCAGTAAGCAGTCTGTTCGAATGATGAACACTGATCGTAAGACGGAAAACGCATGCCATCCTTATATGGGAGCTTAATTCGAATTGCTGTTCACCATTTAACAAGTCTCCAGGGTTTTTAATCCATGGAACGTAACTTATTCTTAATGCGGTTACAGATTTTTAACGTTTTCGTCTGTTCAAGACGTAAAAAGCAGAATCATCCCATAGAAGTTCGCTCTTTTGATATAACGTTCTCAGGAACCACACGTGTAGAAAAAACATATTTTGAAGTGTAATGGCTCATTTCTTCTGAAAATGAACACAACGATGTATTCACATGAAACAACGGTGTAAGCAAATTTCTTTCCCCTAGACAATTCATATATATATATATATATATATATATATATATATATATATATATATATATATATATATATA